ATATTGGGACACACACACACACACACAAGCTTAGGCTGTATTCTCTAGAGAATTAAAACCAGTGGAACATATGTATATATAAAGAGATGCTTATATCAGGGAAGTAACTCACACAGTTGTGGAGGTGAGAGACTCCCACGTCCAGGTCAGATTGAACCAAGATCATCAGGTTAGAAGACAAGGCAGGCAGGTAATAGAGCATGAGCCAGAAGCAAGATCCAGACCTAACAGGGAGCAAGCAAGCTTTGCCTGGGTGTCTGATACAGTGGAAGCAACCTGTACTCCAAGGAACCTTCTTTTAATTTGATTGGCTGCTCATACAGACGTCATCATAGAGTTGATTACATCAGATTAGAGTTCTTTATGGGGATAACTATATCTCAACTGTCAGACCACTCAGAATCCTGGCCCAAGCAAGTTGACACAAACCCTAAACTACCACAGACAGTATAGGCTATGGCAGCCTTTCTTAATACCATAAAACAAGCACAACTCAAATATATTGACTACAGATTACATGCTATATAACTACAATTTTCAAAAAGCCTTTCTTGGCTAAACATAATTCCGGAGGATAGTGACTTCTTGTGCTCCCCTAAGAGTCATAATAAAATCACACTTGATTTTGGTAATACCAAAAACTTTAAAAAAAGTTTGTTGAAAAATGGTATTGGATGATAATAGAATTTTTTCAGGTACTTTTTGAAGACCCCTCATATTCTAGCTTCTAAATTGTGAAATGGGTGTCTGAATGCTCCTTTTGTTGTGGTACTTTATAAATTACATGTATCAGCACATAGCTGTTATGTGCTCCCTAGTTGATTTTGACTCACAGTGACCCTGTATAGGGGTTTCCAATAAGAAGCTGGTGGATATGAAATGCAGACCTTTAGCTTATCACTTCAATGCTTATCCTACATTGCCACACCAGGACTCCAGTGAAGATTGAATGAGTTCTTGCATTTAAAGTCTTCAGAAGTAGTGCATTGGACATAGTAAATATCAAGTGTTATTTTTACTAAGTATTCATAAATATTGACTTCCAAATATTTTGAAACTGAAAGTGTTGAACTAGTTTCTTAAATGATCTAGAATTAGTTAACAGACGACCATTCTAATAAGTATTTTACATTCTTCCCTAGAGAAGCATGCCATCGGGACATTGTGAATTTGCAGGTGGAGATGATAAAACAATTCCATATGCAGTTGGTATGTATGACATTGCATTTTAAGTGGGTGTAGACTTTTGGTGTGGTTCTGTAGGACCAACTCTGGACTACAAAGCACAAGGTCAGCAGTTCAAACCTGCCAGTTACCCAGAACTCCTATACATGGTCACTGAGTCAGAACTGATTCAAAGACACTTAACAGTAAGAGTTGTGTGGATCTAGCAAATCCATTCAAAGGCAGTATGCTTTTTAACTTAGTTATTACATCTAGTTGCCACACTGAGTAATTAGGTAAAGTTTTGAAGCATAATAAATAAATAGATATGAAATGATAACTTTTCTTTATTAAATGTTTTATTGTGAATTATATGATAGTTTACATGGAAGAACATTAGTTTTACATTCATCCATGGTTACAGTCCCCTCCGTGCATCATCATCCAACCAAAAGGTACACCCTGCAAGCCTGCCCCACTGCTCGTCAGCACACAGCCTCTCTCCCCTTCTGGGTCTAGAGTCCCCAGCTGCTTCATCTCTCCACGTCATCGTCTCTGCCTCCATCTCTGGTGTCACTGTTTCTCTGGGTAGGATCCTGCATTCTGCTCTTCTCGCTTGATGTTTCCAGGAATCTCCACTCCTGGACTGCAAAGTCAACCACTCCCCTCCTTTTGCTACAAAACATCTACCTTTACATTTCCAGCCCTCACAGTCAGTCCTGATAACATTTATTGACTATTGTGCCACAAGAGACCCATCCCCATCTCCTTTCATTAGCTGCGCCCAGACAGATTGGATACTACTCAGTAGAGATTCTACCTTTCTCTGTGTCTTCTGGATCTAAGTTCCCTCTTGAAAGCTTGTAAGCCCATCGCTTCTTGCCTTTGTAGCCCCCCCATTTTGGGTAGCCA